CACACCACACCACACCACACCACACCACACCACACCACACCACACCACACACCACACACCACACACCACACACCACACACCACACCACACCACAGTCCACGCGCGGTCTCGTGTCCTGGGTGAGTGCACGGACGCTGCACACGCACAGCAGCAGGCCGGGTGGCGAGAGACCCATGAGCCAGCACGACAGACGTTTCCTAGCATCTGAGGGCTTCAATCAGCCCCGCCATGTCCCATGTATGATTTTATTTGTCCTGTGAAGCAGGTAGGGCACGTGTTAGCATGTGCCTCTTTTGTGATAAAAGATTGAAATACTTCGAGGAAAATGCAAAACAGGGACCCGCAGTTTTTAATTCACTTGTTTCCTGCCATAGGTTCAAATTAGTCACGATTATAGTTGTTTATTTTGTTTTCCTCAGGGACAGTTAGAAAGTCAGCAGTGGTACTCACCCAGGAATCGGTCTCCATGGTAGGCGTGCCTCCTCTGGGCCAGTCCCTGTCCTGTCAGATCCTCTCCCCACGTGCAGGGCAGGCTGCTCTCAGCCTGTCATTTTTGGTGTCAAAGGCTGAGGGGAGACGGAAACCATACTGCCCTCGCAGAGGTCTGGAGTCATGGGGTGGGACAGGCAGGGGAGGAGGGAAGAGACCCCTCAAGTGAGGGAACGCTCGGAAAAGGTGCACAGTCTGGCTCCCAGAATCCCCTGGATTGAAATGTAACACCGTGTGTTCTTTTATTTGTCTACACAGACATTCTGCTGTCAGTTGGAAGAGCTGATCCGCTGGCTGCATAACATAGCGGACATTACAGACCACTTGATTCCATCCAAGTCCAATCTTACAGGTCTCAAGTCTTCTCTGCAGCTTTACCGGGTAATATGTGGTCCTGGCTTCTGGCTGTTCACTCACTGGAGTGGTGGCTAAGTACTTGATTACAAAGTAAAAGCTCAAATAACTGATACTCAGTATGTTACGGCGCAATTGGCTATTTTACATGAAATCTAATCAGAGGCCCTTTTCAGATTCTTCATGCTGAAAAACTAAAATGTAGGAGTTATTTCCCAGGCCAAGCAGAGTTTGGAGAAAATATATTTATCCTCAGTCAGATATACTTAAGGGAATTTGCAATGTAATTTTGCAGATGTCTCAGGGGTTAAGTGTAGAACTGCACTATTATGAGTCACTAGTCACATATGGCTATTTAAATTAAGTACAATTAAAGATTCATATTTTCCAGTTGTACTAGCTACATTTCAAGTGTCCCGGCATTTCTGTCATCACAGAAAGTTCCATTGGACAGCCCTGACTGGAATTTGCTTCTCCGTGTGTTTGGTTTTTGGGTTGTGGGTTTTGGGGTTTTTTTTTTTTTTTTTTTTTTGCCTCTTTTTCATTAAGGTCTTGTTATTTTTTAAATCTTTAATTACGAGTTCTGGTTAATTTGACTTTAGATTAGGTGTATTTGGAGTGATAGTTTGTGCCTGCTATTCTGGAATAGTTACCAGTAGGTTCCCCCTTCATTCTCAGAATTACAGTTACCCCCAGTATAACATCAACCTTGACTAACTACCCACAGCCCTCTAGCATGTCTGGTTGACCAAGCATTTCTAACCTCTTGAAGGAGCAGAGGTAGTATGTGGGGTCTGAGCCTGTGAGGCTAGTCTAGAAAGGATTTTCTGAGACAGTTCTTTGAATTTCTGTAACCTAATCAAGTGCCTTTAGAGGAGAATGTGATTTACGTGTGCCTAAGCCAGAGCAGCACCACCCCAGCAACCCCCACACCCTGGCAGGAGAGAGGGCCAATGTGGCGCCAACTAAAATTTAGGGGCGGGGCCTTGCCTGGATGGGCCAGCTGTTGTACCTTCGTGGGAGTGCTGTTTTCTGCCTGGTGGAGAGAGGTTGCCCTGAGTTCCTTGCCCCGAGTATGCTTGAGGAAAGAGAAGACTGAGTGTGACAGGGTCCTCTGTGTGCAGTTTCCAAGTGCATGTGCAGAGCTGAGCAGGGCCCAGCCCTTGGAGGCTTAGGGGCAGTACCACTGTGGGGAGAGAGGAAATTGCCGGGAAGTTGTCCTCAGACTATCTGGGTGGTCTCTCCAGAGTGCCTCAGCCTCATCCCCATCAAAGCAAGTGCCAAGTAGAACAAGTCCAGTCCCTCCATTTTATCCCTCAGTCTGTCCTTCTCTGCCTCAACTTGCAGACTAGCCAGAGCACCTTTCTTGCTTTGTGGGTAGAACTGAAAGCTGAGCTGGGAGTTACCCTCACAAGTCAGTGAAGACTCTCTCTCTTGTGTCACCCACACAGCTGTGTCACAAAGTGGGATCACTGTCAGCCCCTTCCCCACACAGATTGGTGCATGCCGCATGCGTATGCGTGAGCTACCTGGACCCCTGCATAGATGATAGCTTGTATACGCAAGTCTGTGTCTGTGTGTGTTCACATGTTGTCAGCTTTGACTCTGTCTCATGTACTTTGTCTTAACACATTGGGTTTATGGCACCATATGAACTACAGAAAATACTAAAGAATAAAATAATAAGTACAGGTATTAGGGCAAAGGAAAACTAAAGATAGGAATACAGTTAAATCCGAGAGTAAAATTCTAACTCCAGAACGTGAACCACCAAGTTCTGTACCCTGTACTAAAGGTCGTCATGGATTTGACTTTACGCATCTTAGCAGCTAAAGAAACATCAAAAACAACTACAAGGCTCGGTACCGACGAGGGGAAAACAAATCAGCTACTTAGGAGACTCACAGCTTCCCCACTGCCTCCCCGAGGCCCAGGGTCTGCACAGAGCAGGACACTGAGGGAAGAAGTGGGTGGGGGCCCTTCTCTTGTGGCTCCTACCAGGTTAGAATAGAAGACGGTGTGTTCTGAGAATCCCATAGCCTTGTGAGTTTATAAAGAAAACCCTGTGAGATACGATAGAAAGAAACCCTGACTCCCAAGCTGTTCATGAACCAGGCTCCGGCAGGGAAAAGAAAATTCTTTTGTCCAACTGTAGATGGAAAAAAGGATGGAGTCTGTATTTACTTTGGGCTCAAAGTAGGTGAAGTTAAACTAATGTGCTGCTTACTTGGGGAATTCTGAAGATGGGATGGGTTTGTCTTCCAGGGTAGAGGGGAATTGAGCTACTCCACAAAGGATCATTTTGAGTAGGTTTTACAAAACAATAGTAACAAAGCTTCTTTTTCTTTTCTGATGTGCTTTAAGCAATTTAAGAAAGATATAGATGAACACCAGTCCCTGACGGAGAGCGTCTTACAGAAAGGGGAGATTCTTCTTCAGTGCCTGTTGGATAACACCCCAGGTGAGACGCTTGAAGTTTTGAATCGAGCCAGCACTCCTTCCCTCTCAGCAGCAGGTCCAGGGGCCACAGGGTCACCGGTAAGGATCCAGTAGTGCCAACAGCCCCCCCAACACCCCCACTGCCTTAGATTCTGTTGGCTGCCCGCTGGCCCTCACCTCGTCACTGCCCCTGCAGCCACACAGTGAGCCGGTGACCAAAAGGTAAGTGGAGTCGAGTCTGCAAGGACACTCTTTTACCGTCCCCTGGTACTGACCTGCGTGGGAATGCTGGTTTTCATGCAGTCGTCCTTGGTTCTCTGATAGGCTATTCACAGTAGGGGGCCCTCAGGGGTGCCCCTTTCCCAGGCTGGACCCCTCTCTCGTTATGTGCTTGGTGTTCTGCTCTGAGGAAGTATCCATTTCGGTGTTTGAGAGCAGTCCATTCTGAGGGAGCAGACTGAAGGAAGAAGTGTGCTGCTGAGAGTTCATTTTGCAGGATGGGTTCCCAATTTAGGAAAATGTAAAATCACAGACTTTAAGAATATGCCTAAGCTTGCAGGGTGCGAGGATTCACGATCGGTGTTACCCTTGCTGTGGGCAGATGGGAAAGGGAGGATGAGCTCGGAGAATGCTGGCTTAAAGCCAAGAACTGACGGATTGCCAAAAGCAGCCCCTGATTTCCTGTAAGACTAAACAAGCAGGAGCTAAAAGATCGCATCTGTATTCTGCCGCAGTTTTGGAGTGAGGTGGGGCTTCTGCGGCAAACAAAGCACAGAAGCAAAGCTGGGCCGGACCCCTGGGCTTGAGAGGCAGTGAGGTGGCGCTGGCCCGACCAGAAGCGCTGGGTGCGTGTGAGTGAGGTGGCCTAGAGCAGTTTCTCAATGGGCGCTACCCACATTTGGGGCCATGTAATGCCGTGGGAGGCGGGCTGTCCTCCACACTGCAGGGTGGTTAGCAACATCCCTGGCCTTCACCCATTAGATGCCAGTAGTGACAACCGAGAACCTCTCCAGACGTTGCCAAATACCCTGGGAAGAAAAATGACCAGTGTTGAGAACTGTGAACGGGCAGAGGGATTTCAGTGGGACAGGGAGCCACTGAAGGGCTTTCTAGCCAGGCAGTGATTATCCAGTGTGAACTGGGCGAGCCCTTGGCAATCCCCTGCCCTCAGGAGGCCTTTGTTTTGGTTCTTGCACGAGGGTTTTTGGGGCAGAAGTTCGCTATGTCAGGCTCTTGTGCTACTTGTAATTACATCAGTGTTGTACTGAACACCGTGCACCAGACGCTGCGCTGAAGCACTTAACATATCAGGTTTTTGTCCCGTTTAATCACAGCCTTGTGAGATGGATGCTATTATTACTCTCACCTCAGAGTTGCGAACTTGCCTTGGACCACATAAGCGGTGGCAGCCTGCCTCAAGCCCCCTGATGCCGACTGCCCTGCTGCTGGGTCTGGAGGTGCGGGGGCCGAGCAGGAAGGGAGAGCGCTCCATACTAGGAAACTGGGCCCAGAGGCCGCTTGTGACAATGGGCCTCTTAAAAGCTACAGGTTCCTTGACCTTCCTTCAAAAACCGATCCAGTAATAACTTCTCAGTGCTTAATCTGGAAAAACATCATCCCCCTTGGCCCTTGTCTCAAACTAAGTCATTTGGGCGTTCCTGTGATTTTCAGGTATGTACCCAGCCCCTCTGAGATGGACTCATTGCCCCCTCCGGACCTCTGCTTGGACTAACCAGGAACTTGGGTGTTGTGTGAAGACCACACGTTCCCCTTGACCTTCACAGGGTATCTTCCGCTAGATGCACTAGTGTTCAGCTCTCTCCAGGGTACGCTGCCAGCATGGGTTGAGCCTGAGCGCACACCCCCCTACCCAGCTTCACAGCCCACTTTCTCCCCCGGCCACAAGCAGAACCATAGGAACAAGAACCACATTCATTGCCCCTCCAAAATGCGTCTGTCTCCACCTCCTGCCAGAGGCCTCCCCGTGGAGAGAGCTGGCTTTTTCACTGCTTCGGTGCATGCATTGCCAGTCCCTTCTCATACCCAAACTCCACACTCAGCTGGATCACATGACTGGGACCTATAGGCATGAAGCTGAACCAGGCTCCTGAATGTATGTATTCCATTAAAACACCAAAGCCTGGCTGGCATTCTCACGCCCAGCTTTCCTTTTACTTGGCCCCAACCAAATATTCTAACATCCTAAGATAAAAGTTCAGAAACAAAAATAAAGGTCCCCTGAATTCCACTGACGAACACACAGGACTGAGCCAAGGTCTGGTAAAGGTGGAGGGGAGAGCCCAGCTGCTGCCCGCGCAGAGGAGCTGCACCCCCTGCCGTGGCCTCCCTAGAGGCTGATCTCCCCGCAGCTAGACCCTGCTTCCTTCTGTGGCCGCATCCTTGGCAGCTTCCCCTTTCCCTTCCGCTGCTGGCAGATGTTGCAGCTGCAGCAGGAAACACTGTTTCCTGCTGCAGCTGAGTGTTAACACAGCTGATAAAGGCTCAGGAAGCTAAAGCAGCCTTTGTGTTTAATAAAGGAAATAAGGTTTCTAAGAGAAAAACAAGCCTGCTGTGATGCACTCTGAACCTAAGTCCATCCCTTCCTCATTGGAGGAAATTGTGGCCTCACTCACCTCTGGTCTTAGCTTGCTTTCAGATCCTTTTCTTTTGAAGTCTGTTCCTCTGTTCCTTGGACCCACCAAAAAGGGTTCACAAGCATTCCCGAATACATAACCAGGCTACCTGTATACCTGCTAAGTACCAGTTCCCCAGCCAACAGAGGCTCTTAGGACCTGACAGCAGGACCCAGTGTCTTAATCTTGGCATACTGTTTTGTTTAAGCCTGCCCCAGAGGATCTGGGTGTGCCTTGTGTCTTAACTCTAAAAGCCAGATTACACCAGTCACCAGAGAACCATGCTTCTGTGCCTTTTTGTGAATTATGTAAATCCAAAGTGGAGCCAGCGGAATTCTTCTCTCAGCTCTAATCAGAAGTTAACGTGGATCCCCCAGTGCAACAGCAGTTTCTGGAGAGTCACTGTTAAAAAGTGTGGACATCCTGAAATTACTGCCATGTTCCTATTTTGTGTAAAAATGCTACACGCTTCTATGATTCTTTAGAAAATATAATCACACGTTGTGTTTTTGTTTTGTTTTTTGCCTAATTGCTTTGGACCTCATTTGTTAGTGTTAAAAGATGTCCTCGGGAGGATCTCGAAGCAGCCCAGTGAGCTGGAGAGCCATGCAGATCGCCTATATGACGCTATCTTAGCTTCTCTGGACATGCTGGCCGGCTGCACCCTCATCCCGGACAAGACGCCCGTGGCACACAAGAGTACGGATGTGAAGGGGATGCGCCTAGTAAGTAGGCAACCCAAGAGAAGAAAATCTGTCCTTGGACCCCAGTGCCAGTTAGGGTACAGAGCTCCTGCTCTAACAGTTGGCTAGTTCTTAGAAGCTTGTTGAACCAAGTTATTGAAACAAATGAGATGGTAGAAGACCCTGACACTGAAAAAGGGAGATGCTACCATTGCCAGGAAGAAGGTTGGGGGTCTTCCTCTGGTGAGCTGGCTCACTGCGGTGCCTCCGGGACTTCCTTTCACCCTTGCTGTCTGAGGACTAGGGTGCCCCGCGCTCGCACTTCTCTGCCGCTTCAAGAGAAACAGTGGCAGAACTCCTCTATCCCTAAACTTCTTTAATGTCTGCATATGTAAACTTCTCCAGTATAGGGCCGCTGTTAGGCTCCCTGTTCTATAGGCTCTTCTTGCCCAGCTTTTTTTTTTTTTTTTTTTAAGATTTTATTTATTTGACAGAGAGGGACACAGCGAGAGAGGGAACACAAGCAGGGGGAGTGGGAGAGGGAGAAGCAGGCTTCCCGCCGAGCAGGGAGACCGATGTGGGGCTCAATCCCAGGACCCTGGGATCATGACCTGAGCCGAAGGCAGAAGCTTAATAATTGAGCCACCCAGGTGCCCCTGCCCAGCTCCTTTGGTGCTCCATCTTCAAGCAACTCGAAAGCACCAAGTGCCCACAGAGACTCAGTTACTGATAGGTCCCCACCCCTCCCCTTCCCAACAATGATCTCTGCAAACTGCCTTCCAAAAAGGGCTAGGGGGATCGGCGGGGGTAACATGCCTTAGAGGCTTAACAGTACAGCTTTCTTTTGATCTTTGGGAAAGTCTAACAGGGAATGATAGGGAAGAGGAGCTAAGAGCAGAAGGGTGGGTGCCTAATGTGGGATCGCCACTGCCCAACATTCTGTAGGATTCCACAACTGGACCATACTTTTTCTGAAACTTACTCTCCTACAATCAAAATGCGGTGCTTAATTCTCAGACCTTCTAGGTGACAATTCACTGTAGTCAAGAGAATGTAAAGGATAAAATCGAGGTATAAAGAGGAGGGAGTCCCTGTACTTGCCTCAAAGAAATTTGAGTAGTCATTTTAGTTCTAAAATGAATACAGTGATTATTGTTATTTCTTCCTCTGCAGCATTCCACCTGTAAAAAAAAGTTTCTCTTTCTCTTTCAGGCATCTTCTCAAGCAGATATGTAATCTGTCGACTAAAACCTGGCTGGTGGGAAACTTTCAGGAAGCCCTTGTAAGAGCCATTTAACACTCAAATCAAGGGGGAAACTTTAATGTACTAGCTTTAAAATGCCTTTCTCTTCCCTGAAGTAAGGACTTTTGAGTTACTATTCTTTATTTAAAATGAATCCTTCCAAACTGAGGTTTTCCTTTTGGTGCTTCTCTACAAAAGCATGTAGCTTTACAGTTTTTGATAAAATAAGACTGGTAAAGCTTACAGGTCTTTCACCACCCCCCGCCCCAATCCAGTTAAAAAGAACAGAGCTCCTAAAATAGTCCACCTGCTGAAATCCTTTAAAGAAGGTTCACATGAGAGAGAAGGCACCAAATACTGGTATTTTCAGGCATACGAGAAGACCCAAGAGACTGAAAAAAAAAAAAAAAAAAAAAGAATCACTGGCCAGGAGCTTGGGTCTTTTTATAAAATTAATTAAGCTTAGGTTTATAAATCCCTCTTGAAGATTTTAGGAGAGACTTTAAATCCCCAAATTAATAGAAACTTCTGAACAAATTATTTTTGACTCTTAGGACACTTTTTAAATTATCTTCAGGGTTTAGGAGGGCTCTATCTGCCTGCCTAACTAATACGTCAAAGGAAAATGTGTCAGGGACTTAGGGAACTGTCACTGAGCTTCTGCAGGACTATGGCCTGATTATCCACACCTTAAGGGTACCTCCAGGTGGACGCATCAGTCCATTCCTAGTCTCCAAAATCAGGGCCGAGAAGGGCATGGATAGGGTCACAAAGCCTGTTTACAGAAACTAAGGCTGTCAGTGGTGAAGGAGAAAAGGGAAATTCTTCATTGCTTGGGAGTGACATGTACCTTGACAGGAGAAAAAAAAAATCTGTAATCTATGAACAACCATCAGTTCTGTAGCTTTCTAAAGCAAAATGTTCAGCTCTTGCTGGTAACCACAGATTCTGCAAAAAAGCAACAAAAGACCTTTAAAAAATTTCTCTTGTGTGAATGAACATGGAAGGAGGGGAAATCACATCTCCCCCTATATATTTCTAGCATTATGGTGGGCTAAAGACTTCAGAAAAGGATTCTTCACACTTAAATGTATGTGAGATAAGCACTTAAAGATCTTTTTTCAAACTCCTTCCAGATGCTCATTGGAGGAGGGTTCTTAAAGGAAGATCTCATGTTTATAAAGAAAAATGAACAAGTCATCTTGAACCTAAAGAAGGTGACATTGGAACGATTATTCTCATGAGCAGACTTCTGACATCCCCTCAGAACAAAACATTTAATACAAAATTACCTTCTTTAAAAGAAGTTTAGGACTTTAGTTTTGGGGTCACATAATCATAACACTATCTCATCTACCTCCCTATGAACTTAAAGTCCTATTATTAAATGTGACTTTTCTGCTTTAAAATCTCTGACTTTATCGTCACTGGGAAAGAAGCTGTTAAAATCTAATATTTAAAGATTAACTACAAAAGTAAACTATATAAAGTGCACTATTTCAAGTGCCTGCTGCTATGGTATGATTTACCAATGAGCAAGGAAGGGCATGATCAGAATTCAACCCTGCCATCTCCCTATTAATCTTAGTTCCATTGTGAGGTTTAAAAAGACAGGACAAAACAAAGCACCTCCAGAGCAAATAATTACATACGTAAAATATTCTTAAAAACCTACAGATGCTTTAAAAATGTCTAATGGCCTGTGTTATTATATTGATCTATTTCACCTTCTCTTTGATGTGGCTATAAATTGGCACATGCCTTTCTACTGTTAAAACAGCCCTGAGGCGTTACCCATTTATTTGCTAGTATTTGATAGACCTGTTTCTATTCACAAAAAAACTGAAGACGACAACCCTGGGGAAACAAACTTGGCCAATGTTACAGCAAGTGAATGCTGAATATGCCATTCTGTTCCCATCCAACCTAATAATTACCAGCTTCAACAGACAGGAATTTTCAGAGTATTTTATTTCAGAGTACCTGGTTTCCCAAGAAGGTATTACTTTCATTACAGAGATGATCTAAGATATTTTTATCTATCTCTTTTGAAATAAGGTGTGACTGAGGGTACTCTGGACCTAGCTGTGAATGCCACTGAAGAGTTCTATCTTTAGCAGTGCTATAAGGAGTTTAAGACCAGCGTTAAAACTCCAGCTGAAATGGTTTCAGCCTAGGAAGCTGCTGCAGCATGTCCGTGAGCAGCCACGGCCGGGTTAGAGGCAGAACAGCCTGGCCGGCCACTGCACCATGGCTGGTGCACATTCGCCTTAAGGACAGAAGTGGCTTACGCGGACATAACAGTAGTTATAAGATCCCACGTTTACCTGTAGTAACATTTTCTAGTAGTCCCTGTAAATAAACAGAATCGAAGTCCACAGGGAAGTGGTAGTACTAAGACCTGGGTTCGGGTTGCAGCTCCACAGCTAGACTCATCTGCAAATAGGTGACAGTATCAATACAGGGCTGTTTTGAAGCTTCAACGGGAACATAAAGGGATGATGTCAAGATGCTGCAATGGCAACATGTATGCTAAAGGAAATTTCAAAGGTCAAAGAACAGGAAGTTCCTGCTCAGACCAGAGTGGCTATCATTCTATTAGGGTTTCCCAGCGATTGCAACCACTCAGGCTCAGAACACTTCACTTACGTAAGCTTATTCATGGCAGCCAGGGACATTAAAATACAACAAGTGGGAATTCCTCTTACTAAGTGGACAAATTATTAAAGCCCATAGTAGCTTGAAGTGTTTGTATATTTTTTTTCAAAACTGCATTTATAGTCATACACAAAAAAGCAAATAGGGAAGCATGCTGAAACATCCTGCGGTAAGCCCCAGTCTTGACTGCCATGGGAGAAAGAACACTAGATTTTCAAAACTACTTACTTGTAAGTATGTAAATATGCTTACATCTTAAATTCATGTACTGTTCGTTCTTGTTAACTCACCAATAAGCTGCCAGTTTGAATAGCTTGCTGTATAAAACTGAAGTGCACAGCATCACGTAACAGTTGTAGCATTCATCTGCTTTAGAAAATAGTTTCTGAATCTTTCCCCCTTTATATTGTATCATTAAGGCAAAAACCAAACCTCTGAAGCATTAAAAAAAAAAAATCTTCACCCAAGTAACTATTGGTAACTTGAGGGATTTTTCAGTTGCCTTATGCGAGGATGAATAGATCCAACAAGCACATCTATAATACAAAGTAAACTATGATTTTATTGTGAAATTCTCATAGATGGAAAATTAAATTGAATATTTATTCTGTCCATTTCATTTTACAATAATCTTACCACTTATTTTTGTACCATGTATTTCAATTGCCTGTTTAGTGAAAATAAAGAAACCTATCATTTTTGGCTTGTTTTTAAATTTTATCACTGGATTAAAGATCCCACCATAAAACGTGCTGCCAACAGCCACATCCCAAGCGCCTAAGTAGAGAATGTTTTGGCTGCTATTTCAACCCCACGGAAACAATCTCTGACTTCTATCACCTCCAAATGTCATCGTTAGCAGATGATTTTTTGTTTCCCACAATAAAAACAAACCTTAGGATCTTTAAGGTCCTATTTAACAAAATTTTCACATGTGCAAAATTCCACTGAAATAAATACATTTTTCTCATTTATCATTCCCACCTAGCATTTGTGTTTTCAGTTAATTTTTAGGGATATAATTCCTAAAATTAGGGCAATCAATAGTAAATTTCCTGCTTTCTACTTTAATGCTTTAATTCTCCTCCAACCTAAATTATACAATTGTGGAGAATAAAATAGTTGACATGTGACTCAGAGCATGGAAAAAACAGTATCAGTACACACATTAGTCTGATCACTTGCCAATTAGGAAAGGTGTGCTGCTTTCCACCTCAACCACAGAAGAATTAACAAAATGTTGATCGGTGAAGCCATTTCAAATGGTTTTAGAGAAGGAGCAGAGATAATAGACTAGATAGCATACATTCTAAACTTGTTTTCCATACAACTTAAGTCTCCCTGAACCACTAAGCTTGGTTAAATCCCAACACAGCACAGAAGACTCCCTAGGTCATTTATTGGGTATATTATCTGGAAAGCGTATTGGATGCTGCTCTAAGATAGGTCTACAGTGCCCTGGTTGCACACACAAATGGCTGTTCGGAGTATAATGCAAGGCTCTATTTCCCTTTAACCATAAGAATTAAAACAATACTTATCACCATACAGTTTGATATTACTTCCAATAAGTACAATATTTATTAAACATATCTTCAGTTTTGTTACATAGTGTGCAACAAATTACAATATTCTGCAGCCACAAATTATATGCAGAGTATGAAGAAACTATTAATCAGATAGTGTAATCTTTCCATTTATAACTCTACAAGGAAGAACTAGCAAATCAGATCTTACATATAACATCTCACTAAACTTTATGCATGGAAAGTGACAGACACTGGTTGTGCTGTTTGATACAAAATGGCTGAACTTCATCTTCAGAAGACTAAACCTGACATCTAAACATGCCAATATAAACATCAAAACAAAATATATTCTAACCAACCACGGGAAACAGTCTGGTATCAGGAAAAGCAACAAGGATTACACACATTATTTTATAAACCAGCACACAAAGGTTTAAAACAGTTCTGAAAATGAAGTTAGCTGTCTTGAGTCAAGGGAATAAAAAAAAAGTCAGTATTGACCATTTACAATCTCTGACCTTTGTGGAGACGGTAAGAATCTGTTGTAGTGCAGCTACATACAGTACAATTCAGGCAATTTTGTTTTTTCACTTGGGTTCAGATTGCAAATTCATTGCTGTGAGAGAAGGACGGAGGCAAATTTTAGCAGCAACCTCCACCTGACTGCTTGACCGGAGTGCTCTGAATTTTCACATTGGACTTCTCTGCACCACCAGCTGTTGCTCCAGGACCCATTCGCTTTTTAATTTCAGCTGCCATAGTCATGAAAGACTGTTCTACATTCGTTGCGTTCTTAGCGCTGGTTTCCAAAAATGGAATTCCAAGGGAATCAGCAAATTCCTAAAAGAATAGTAAGACTTAATTAACACTGAAAATGTTTCCCCACTTAGTGCATTTCTATCATCTGAAATGGGGAGTGAGGATGGCCTGAGTTTACTGAATCCAGACAGACACTGCACGGGCTGTAAAGGCTGTACGCTGACCATACCCACACTTCATCCAAACCGAACACCTTCACATTCAGTTTGAAAATCAAACTTGAAACGTACCTTTGCTGTTGTGTAGTCTACTACTTTCTTTGTGGTCAGATCGCATTTGTTCCCTACCAACAACTTGTTGACGTTTTCACTGGCGTAACGGTCTATTTCCTGCAGCCACTGCTTAACATTATTGAAGGACTCCTAAGCAGACAGACATTTTTAAGAATGATCATACAGTTCTGGACACAACTGCTCTAAATAAGCAAGTAAAAACCAAAGGTCTTTCCTGGCCTAAGAAAAACTAGTGAGGCAACTCTAGCTACAAAATACAGTGCTGTGAAGGAAGTGAAGTGATACAAGACCCCGTCGGTACCTATATGAAAAGAGTCTAGAATTTGAAGGCTTAAGGGAGGGAAATACTTAAACTACAGCTCAAATTAAAGATTTTATTTATTTAAAAGCAAGCACGAGGAAGCACAAGAAGGGGAAGCGGCAGGCAGAGGGAGAGGGAGAAGCAGACTCCCCACTGAGCAGGGAGTCCGACCTGGGGTTCAATCCCAGGACCCTGGGACCGTGACCTGAGCAGATGGCAGATGCCTAACTGACTGAGCCACCCAGGCACCCCTGGAATATGCAATTTAAACACACCTATAAAAACCTAGTTTTTGAAATCTGATAAAATGTTGGTTCATGAGCAAGAGCACCTAAGTGTTATAATACTAGAGATATCAAAAGATATTAAACTACTAAATTAAAGATGCTTGTTTTCTTTTCCACAGACATATTTAGGGAAGGAAAATTTTCATACTTCATTATCTCATGGTAATGACCTGAGATTTTTAAAATTAGCTTTTTTTTTTCTCCTGTTGACATAACTCACCCAATACTTCTAATGGCACGGACTGAAGTCTATGATTCTAATTATCTCCTAATTAGCTATGATTTCCTAGGTGAGGTGAGATTTAACATTTGCCACAGAAAAATAAATTTTAATATTCAGTTTATCTTTCATTCTTTGATAGAAAAAAAGGACCCTGAAATTTTCTTTCTGATCAAAAGAACATTCATGGCCCCTGGACCACCATCATCACACTATCTCTATACCCCCTACATTCTTTCAACATGAGCTAATCTTTAGATGCTCATTGTCCTTTTTTTTTTTAAGATTATTTATTTTAGAGAGAAAGAGCACGCTCAAGCGGGAGGAGGGACAGCGGGAGAGAGGAAACAGACTCCCTGCTGAGCGTGGAGCCCCATTTAGGGCTTGATCCCAGGACCCCAAGATCATGACCTGAGCCTAAGCCGAAACCAAGAGTCGGCAGCTCAACAGATTGAGCCACCCAGGTGCCCCCCTTCATTGTCCTCTTAAAAATCTTCCTCCAGCTCATCCTATTTCTGAACCATATCCTCCATAGGCAGAGACCTCTAATCTCACTAAGAGCTCTAATTAACAAATTCCTGCTAATACTTCACACCAAGAGCACAGTATACACTAAATAATCCACAGATCCCTACGAACTCTTGCCAGAATGATCAAAAAGTTACTTAGTTGATAAATATAAGCAGAGTCCCTTGAAAGCATATGTAAAAACTAAATTTCCTATTTACTAAAGGAAAATAATATAAAATTTTGGTTGGCCAATTTATTTGATATTCAAATAATGGAGGGAAGAAAAATATCAATGTACCTTAAAAAGAGTACTGCTTTAAATGTTTTTTAATGTGACATTTACATCTGGGAGTGGACAAAGTATTCTGCCACGTATAATACTGATGCCATATAAGCAAAGTCAAAGAATCTGATATTTATCAAACAGTAACTTCCTACTTTGCCACAGTAGCACAACTCCCTCCTGGAACTTACCTGATCTGTCACATCATACACAACTATGATGCCGTGGGCTCCTCTGTAATAACTGGAGGTGATTGTTCGGAATCTTTCTTGGCCTGCTGTGTCCCACTGTTACAAAACAATCAAGAAATCCAAACAATTCCATTAAATAAGAGTTGGGGGAAAGAGCAGGAAGAGGGAAATCAGTTTAAAATTTACATAGTTTTGGAAATTATCAAGATTTGACATGGAAACATTAACCCTCAATGCTCACACTCCTAAATTGCATGGTAACTGCCAAATACCTGAAGAGTCAGAAAAGAAGATAGTGCCTATAATTTAGCTTGCTGTAATGCTCCCAATAAGCTCTTTGAGTCAGAAACTTTATTATACTTTTCATATTCCCTACAGCCCTTACCATGGTGCAAGGCAATCAGTATGAATGCAGAGACAGGTTGACTTGATTAGGAAAGCTGCTGGCCTAATGCCTCATTAACATTGTGTACTTTCACAAATAAGACAATCACTTGCTAGCACATACACTGAAAGGACCTAATTCAGATAACTACTAGTCAAGATAGTACTTTAAGCATCTCAGTAAGATACTATCTCAATCCTAGGAAAAACAATGTAAAGACGATTCCATATACTTTCATAAAATCATTTTAAGATCCATTTACCTAACCATATAGGCTCAAGCAATGAAAACAAATGCTTATGTTATTACGTTAAAATTCTGGGTTTAAAAAATTGTTAAAAACATCAAGAGGCAAACTCAATTGTTAGATTTAAAAAGCCTTGGTTTTAAGGAAAGCAATGAGAATTTTGTTTAAATTACTCCTACTCAATTACTTTTTTTTTAAAGATTTTATTTATTTGACAGATAGCAAGAGCAGGAACACAAGCAGGGGGAGTGGGAGAAGGAGAAGCAGGCTTCCCGCCAAGCCGGGAGCCCAATGTGGGACTCGATCCCAGGACTCTGGGATCATGACCTGAGCCGAAGGCAGATGCTTAGCGACTGAGCTACCCAAGCGCCCATCCTACTCAATGACTTCTTAAAATATTTGTGTAATTAGAATAGCTACCTACCCCACTAAAAGAGATTGGTAAAAGACTGATGGGGAAATAGCACAATGGTTACCATTAAAAACACAAAAAAATGGACTCGATGCATAAGACAAATGGAGATTAAAAAACCAACAGCCTTTTTTTTTTTTAATTAAATATTTTATTTTTAAGCGATCTCCACACCCAATGTGAGGCTCAAACTCATAACCATGAGATCAAGAGTTCACTGACCCAACCAGCCATGGACCCCAACAGCCTCTAAAGGGAGGAACTGTAAAGTTTTGGAATATATTGATCCCCGCTAACACCTTAAATGGCAAAACTAAAGGTTCAGGAACACTCAGTGAAACCACATCCTTTTTTTTTTTTTTTAAAGACCCAGCCCACATAGGGGTGTTAAAAACAAGCTGCAATTGGGGAGAAATCTGAATACAGACTGGATATTAAGGGAATATTATGGCATTAGTGTCAACTTTGTTAGATGTGAAAATGGTGGTTACACAGTAAAATAGAGATGTACACTAAAGTGTTTTTGGAGTAAAATATAATGTAATTTAGCATTCTCCAGGAAAAAAAAGAATGAAGCAAATAAGGTAAAATGTTAACAACTGTGAATCTAAAAGCAAACAAGTCACCACAACTTCATTACCTTTTCTGTCCAAAGTACTAAGCTTGAGAGCGCAGAAGACTATTTAGATCTACTGTATAAGTGAGGAGCCTCAAAGTCTTTCAGGATATCCGTAGAGAAGCATGGGTTTGGAGTCAAAGAAACCTGACTTCAAAACGTCAAACCTATGTTCCTGGTTATTTAACACTAGGGAGAGTCACCTAACAGTTTTCTCAACTATAGAGCCTAGGTATCACTCACCTTATAGAACTGCTGAAGGGGTTTAAATGAACTAATGTTTGTAAAATGCCTACCCTGATTACAGAAGGTGCTCCATAAAATATTAGTTCCCTTCTCCACCCACCAACCCCTTTCACAAAGATAGCAAAATTAGACAAGGAAGAAACTGTTTCCAAACAAACGCTAACATAAATAATTGTAGCTGACTAAGCAAAGGCATCCAAAGAGTAAAATCTCTGATGTTCTCCTTGCCGCTCTGAAAACTCCTGTGACTTTTCATCCTAACAGTACTTTCCTCTCTAACTGATCACCCTTTGTATCTAATTCTCACTACCCCTCATAATCACAGGGTAACTGATTTTTCCATGTTTGTCTCTCCCACTGAAATGGAATCTCTTCCTAGGGGGCTCTGTTTCCTTCATCTCTATAACCTTGCATCTATCTTTGAATGGATTAATTACAAGAAAAGGGCATGAATCCTGAAGTGCAGGGGAGAAAAAAAATTCAAAGTCCAAATCAAGAGAAAATTTACCCCATGTAGTTCACACTGGCTGGACTCTATCTCATACTTGATTTTAGGAATCACATTTTAATAAAAGGCACTCCTACAATGTGCAGGAGTGACCAAAATTGTAAAAGGTTCTGGAAACATGCTTCCAGAAAGGAATGACTGACTTCAGAGGTAGAAGGTTGTGATAAGATCAATCTAAAGGGCAGGCTGCCAACAGAAAATGAATTAATTGCGTTTAGGCGGCTCCGAAAGGCAGAGGAATAAGAGAAATTAAAGGAAACTGGCTTCAGCTCAATATAAAGAATTAACAATCAGAAGTTATTTATAAATGGAACTAGCTGCTTTGAAAAATGGTGAACTTCCCAGAAGTGTTCAAAAAAAAAAGGGCACCAGATAGCAAAAGGAAATTCCCACTGAAGATGAAAGGAAGACCGAGTGACTGACCTGTTAGATGCCTTCCAGCCACAGGAAAGTAACAATAAATGGGTGTTTCACAAATAATCACTAAAATCTTATGAGCTCAATGATGACACATAATCATTTCACATTACTAATTAGGTTAGACAGTTGCGTACATCTTTTTTTGCAATATTCTTTGTGGTACAGTACCAAGTATAAAGTTGGCACTCTACATACAATGGGAAAAATCAATATGAAAGGTAATCTGTTCACGGGCTGAAAGAAGTAAGCTATCTCTGATAACTATATCCTTGCAAGTCCTAATTTGTAGTATCAAGTATGTTCACTTGTATGGATCCACAGTTCTTTTGTAATGTACCTTCTTTTTTCTTATCAAAGGCAGATGAGAAAACGGGGCAACTAAAAAAACAAAAAACTGTCAAACATCCATTTATTTGGGTATGTCACATCACCAGTAACATTTATATAATGTCCAAAAGTTTACAACAGGCTTTCACATAACATTATCATATCCACACACAGAGAGCTACTGGATTTGGTTTTCACAACTACCTTGTAAGTTAGTAAATCAAGGACCATCATGATCATTTTAGAGATAAGAAATGGAGTCCCAGGAAAAAGGCTGAAGAAAGTTAAACACATGACTCTTTGACTCGTAAATACCAGAGTGAAGATAACATATCCAAGTTTCCTGACTTCAAATCCAGAACTCCTTCTAGCAGTCACTGGTTTTCTGTTACCTTGTACGAAGAGTCAATACCGAAAGATACCCAGAAATTAATGTTTTTAAAGACCAATGATATGTCCACACTTGTAGTGCCCAAACCCATATAAAGGTGATACAACTGAACTACTACAATTGCCTGTTTTTAATTCAGGGTTGGGGATGGAAGCAATGCATAAGGGGGCTAGGATGGCACAGGGACACAAAATACTGAAGAAAGCAAGCTGTGAGTCACTTGGTTCTGCCAGTAACTGTGGGCAAGTCATTAAATATCTTGGCATTAGTTTTCTGAGCTGTAAAACATGTTAAAAAAGCTAAGTTCCTTTCCAATAAAATTGTTTCTACAGAGTTGGTACATACAATCTAATAAATACAAAAGAACTAAACAAAACTTTTCAACTAACCACATATAAAAACCCTCTCCCCTAAGGTTTCTTTTAATGCTCCACAGTATTCAGCGCAGTAAAAGACATCAGGAAATGCTCAATCTACTTTCACTATTAAGGTAAACTTCAACTGAGGACCCCCCCGCAAATGATAAAAGCACAAGAAAAAGAACTAGGACCAAGTATGACTTACATGTATTTCTTTACTTTATGAACAGAAAATTCAACGAGGAAGATAATCTTAGAGAAGTCATTTTTAATCTAAATTCTTATTCTACCATTCTATCACAAGTACATGATTCTTAAGATCCTTTCAATTTTAGCATGTTAAAAAGTAACATTTTAAATTTACCAAAATGATTTCCAAAACAAATTCTAGTCTAAAAATGACTTACTATTTGAAGCTTGATTGTTTTCCCATCTAACTCTATAGTTCTTATTTTGAAATCCACACCAATTGTGCTGATGTAGCTTTCTGTATATGTATCATCCTGAAGGGAAAAAAAAGTCAACATATAAAATTAATGTTCAATAGAGGAAATATGAAAATATAATGTCAACTTTTATCTACAAAGTTGATAAAGTTTATAAGCCATAACAGGTTGAGAACAGCTACTTCATCCCACTCCAGTACTCAGTTCATGTTCTGATTACAATACACTTTTTAATAGCAGTTTCTTCTTAGGATTTTCTCAGTAGCTCTTCTTTTATTTTACCAAACATCTCTAGGCAAATTCTTTACATACATATCAAAAAAAAGTTTCATATTTTCAATGATTATAAATGATTTTTCTAATTGCTAATCAGCAAAACTCTTGCTCCCCTGACCCTCCATCCAATGTATTCACCACAAAGGGATGTTCATGTCATTCTCTTCCAGTTTTTTTTAGGAGTCACTTTTACTTCCTAGCTATGACTTTTAAAAATTGTGATATAATACACATACCGTAAAATTTAAAGTGCACAGCTCAGTAGTTTTTAGTATATTCCTAAGGTTGTACAACTGTCACCATTATTTATTGCAGAACATCGTTATTACCCCGAAAGGAAACTTAGTAGCAGTCACTCTTCATTTCATCTCCCCTTCAACCCCAGAAACCACTACTAATGCAATTTCTGCCCCTATGGCTTTGCATTTTCTGGGCATTTCATGTGAACGGATGTGGCCTTTTGCGTCTGGCTTCCTTCACTTAGCATAAAGTTTTCACGGCTCATTCATGTTACAGCATGTACCAGTACTTCATTCCTTTTTATGGCCAAATAATAGTTCATTGTGTGGACAGACCACATTTCGTTATCCATCAGCTGACAGACATTTGGGTTGTTTCCACTTTTTGGCTACTATGAATAATGCCGCTATGAACATCTGTGCACAAGTTTTTGTGTGAACAATGTTTAACCCAATGATACACTTTTAAAATTACACCTATTTTCCTCAAGTATCTGTTATGATATTCAGAATGGAAACAAAACTTTTTCAAGTGAAAATGTTTGTGAAAAGATATGTGAATGGTGAGATCAGCTATCACCACCTAAACCCAATGAACAATCTTAAGCCAGCACAAAGCAACACCTAGCAAGTACTCTGCCAACAAAGATGGGCCTAAATCTATTAAGAGCAGCCCTATTAAAGAGAACTTTCTTTGATGATAGAAAGGTTCTATAAACTGTGCTAGTCAAAACAGTAACCACTAGTTAGTGAGAATAAGGAACTGAATTTTAAATTTTATTCAAATTTCATTAATTTAAATTTAAATAACCACATGGGGCTAGTAGCTACCATAAGAATAGCAGAGTTCTGGGGCTTCCAATTACAGGAACACGAGGGATAAAGGTAAAGTTTAAAGTCACCACAAAGAAGCAAAGTGACAAATCTAAAATGTTGGATAATCTATATGACAACTGCCTAAATTCTGCATAAAGTAAAAGACATGAAAAATACATAAATAAAAAAGGAGGTTGGAAAAACTCTAGATTAAGAAATTAAGCAGCAAACCACCAAATGGAATGTACAGACCATGTCTGAATCCTGATTCAAAACAACTGTGATACCACACTTCTGAGACAATCAGCAAAATTTATTTTCTAAGCTGACGATGGCATTGTTCTAAGAAAATGTCCAATTTTTATTTATTTACTTTTTAAAGATTTTAAGTAATCACACACAGCGTGGGGCTCGAACTCACAACCCTGAAATCAAAAGTCACATGCTCCACCAACTGAGCCAGCCAGGCACCCCCAAAATGTCCAGTTTTTAGAAATGCATATTAAAGTATATAGGAGTGAAGTGACACATTTGGGATTCACATTACAACACTCCAAAAAAGAGAGAAAGGGAAGAAAGGAAATCAGTGTGGGCAAGTCTCCATAATGTTATATGTAATGTGTACATGGAATTAAAAAAGATCTAAGAAAATTGTAAAATGTGTCAGAGTTCCAAGTGTCTAGAGGTAGGACTTCCTCACACAGTCACATTTATGCACATGCAGAATCACTGAGTAAAAGGATATTTTTAAAGCACTGAGTGCAATTTGACAAAATGCTGGTCACCATTACTAGGCATTCATTTTTTTTTTTTTTTAAAGATTTTATTTATTTATTCATGAGAGACAGAGGAGGAGAGAGAGAGAGAGAGAGAGAAGCAGAGGGAGAAGCAGGCTCCCAAGGAGCAGGGAGCCCGATGCGGGACTCGATCCCAGGACCCAGGGATCATGACCTGAGCCGAAGGCAGACGCTTAACTATCTTCATTTTTTAAAAATCTTATAACTTCTTTCTAAATGAGAGCCTAGTAAGTATCAGGTACGGCAGAAAGAGGAGGGAGAACAGAATGAGTGCAATAAACATTCACTTAGCACTCCCACATGACAGGGACTTTGTCGGAAATACTATAAATGCTTTCTTAGAATTTTTATAAGTTCCTAAATGTGCCTTACTTGCATACCTCTGAGCTATTACACATTCTCTTCCTTCTGTCCAAATTTTCAATATTTCTTTATGCATACCTCCTAATCCCTAGCCCCTGGGTCACAATTTTTATTCATTCTTGGATTTTGAGCTCAGGCAATACTGACTGTCCAAACGTTCTTTAACTCTTGGTCAATAGTTAGAGATTCTTCCTTCTGTGCTCCCATAGCTTATACATTTATTATACCTGGTGCAGCTCATCCCTATTCTAGAGGCCCGGGAATCAGTATTTTTTAAATGCTTCCCAGGCAATTCTGCTGTGTGGGAAGGCAGTATTGAAAACCCGTGATTTAGGGGCGCCTGGGTGGATCAATCGTTGAGTGTCTGCCTTAGGCCTGGGTCATGATCCCAGGGTCCTGGGATCAAGCCCCGCATCAGGCTCCCTGCTCCCTACTCGGCGGGAAGCCTGCTTCTCCCTTTCCCACTCCCCCTACTTGTATTCCTGCTCTCGCTGTCTCTCTGTCTCTCTGTCAAATAAATAAATAAATAATCTTGAAAACCTGTGACTTAGATCAACAAGCATCCCAGAGAAGATTTTCTTTGCAACATAGACACCTCAGGCTGTACTCATTTTCATCAAGAGATGCCAGATTCTTCCCACATACCTAGCATTGCTGATTTAATACAGGGATGATTCCTGATTTTAATATTTGCCAATTTAATAAAAATTAAGTACTACCTAGTTTTAAAGTCCTTTAATTACAAATAAAATTGAACTTTTCATATTTATTGTCAATTTGCGTTTCTTTTGTGAACTGCCCATTCGTGTATTTGCCCCTATTAGGACAAACATCCTTTTTTTAGTATGTAAGTGTGCTTTATATATTGAGAAGATCCCTTCCTCATATTTTTTTTGCTAGTATCATGTTTTCTAACATTTTCATGCGCCTGACATTAATTTTAATGCAATCAAATTTAACAATCCTTTCTTTCCTGATATGTTTCCATGTTAGAAAGTATTTTCACACAAGATTAAAGAGCCACCTATGTTTTATTCTAGTAGTTCCTTGGTTTCTCTGTTACATATAATAAAATTATATTAGGGGCGCCTGGGTGGCTCAGCCAGTTATGTGTCTGCATTCGGCTCAGGTCATGATCCCAGGGTCCTGGGATTGAAGCTGCATCAGGCCCCCTGCTCATCGGAGAGCCTGCTTCTCCCTCTCCCTCTGCTGCTCTCCCTGCTTGTGCTCTCTTGCGCTCTCTGTCAAATAAATAAAATCTTAAAAAAAAAATTATATATTTTTTAAATGATATTAATACGGTCACTCATCAGAAAAGTCACAGTATCTGACATGCTAGCAAGCTCACAGTGGTGAATTTTAAGTTTTCTGAACTTCTAATCTTCCCCTGAAGACTAGAAAGCTTGAATTTTATTGCAGACCGCAAATGCTATCAGATATTTTCCTTGAAATGATAGTCTCAGTTCATTTGAGAAAATGTCTGCCCAATACCATCAAATTATACATAACTAGTTTGTCAGTTGTTCTTTCAAGTAAAACAAAAAGACACAAATTAAAAAATGAAAAAAGCAGCTAGTTCAGCTCACAACTCAACTACGTAAGTGCTTTTATTTTCCTCAAGACAACCAACATAATTCAGTCTGCAGTACAAGTGCTTTATATGTACTCATTTTTCTCACACAGAACATTTAAAAAAAGAATACTCAAGGATCACGATTTTTAGAAATTAATCACTTTTACTGTTCTCATCAGATACTCTTAAATGAAAACTGCCCCCCCGCCCCGTGAATAAATACAGGTAAATACCATGACTATGAATACAGTTCAGCACTTAGCACTGCCTTAATGTGGTGCTGAGGCACCAGCAGTTTTATCCACCACTGCATCTGCATCATCAGAGCAGATGTCAACACAGTGAAAAAGCAAATGTCTTTTGTCTTAGTACTAAGTAAGTACTTACTTAGTAAATACTAATGGCTTAGTATTATTAGGATAAAAGTTTTAATCTCATGGACCCTCTGAGAAAGTCTTGATGATCCCCAAGGGTCTTTGGTCCATACTCTGAGAACCAATGACCTAGACAGCGAGAAGGAAAACATGCTAAATTTGAAGGCAGTTGAGAAAGACTATGAAGGAGACTGTGGATTCTATTCAGTAGGTTTAAAGTTATATACCTGTTCATAAAGTGCAGCATATAAAACACTATGTATGCCATTGTCAAAAAAAAAAGTTTGTACCAGGCCCGGCTTCTTCCTTTATTCTACTAAAATTTTCCTTGAAGATTCATTTTTTCATCAAGTCATTTAAACAAAGGCTAACTATTTGAACTCTACCAAGAGTATTAGACATTCTAACTTCATAATCATGCTTAGCTGAATTTCTTTTAAAAGCAACAGCATTTCCTCTACTTAAGAGTCCAAAATATCACTGGGAATATACACTTGGAGGCTTTTAAATATATAAAGTCTGGAAGAACTACTTTATCCCAAATAAAACTGTTTAATCCTTTGTCTACCTAGAAAACACACACAGCAGTAATTTCTTTAAAGGCATTTCAATTTCAACTTACTGCAAACCTAAGAAGGAGGCAAGACTTTCCAACCCCAGAGTCGCCAATCAGAAGTAACTTGAATAAATAATCACTGCAAAAAGAAAAAGAAGATCACATTAATAACAAGCATACTGCATTGTAAGTTCTACAGCAAAAACAGAGCCAATAATAGCTCACTTGAGGACTTCTAAAAGGCCCATGAATGGCTTCAGAAGCCCAAACTGCAACCAACGGCAGAAGCCCTTTTCATGAATCGCTAAACATGGCAGAATTATGTAAAAGGTAAGTAATGCCACCCATGATCTCTTGAGATCAATGAACTTCTACTTCCAAGGAAAGAATGAAAGAATAGAAGTAATGTGTACTCTTGGAGAGCCCAAGAGACTTATGCTAGATAAATTCCACTCCTCTGCAGTATTAGAATACAGGGAGTTAACTTTCCATTGTTCTTGCCAATGAAACATAAATCTCTCCTTCAAATTCCAAGACCAGATCATTATTTCATAGCAATCCTCCAATGAAGGGGCTTTTACGATCCTTTCCTAGCATCTACCTGGAATTCTCCCCATTTAAAAAAAAAAAAAAAGGATCATTTAAATTCTAAAAACCTGTATTAAAAAATATTTTAGACTAGAGAGGTGGTAAAATCAAATGCTGTTTACATAAACATACAACTTTACCAACTTACTAAGTTTGTATTAAAGCTTTCTTCAGAAACTGAAAGCTAGGCTCTATTTACATACATTAACCTCCCAGGCCTAACTCAAAAACCAGCCCCAGGGATTCCTTCCAGGACCTAAAGACAACATACTGCCGACGGCCTCCCAAGGAGTCCCTCACAGATCCTTTTCAACTTGGACCACTGCTATGTATTCTTTTAAGTAATTTCAAAAGGACCCCAAAATTTAGAATTTACAGATTTTTTAAGGAAACCTATTCATGATTTTCAGTTTTGTCCTTTGTGATTTAAAAAAAATGATACTTGAACTTAAGATGAAACCCAAATATCACTCACAATTTATATTTAGATGACAATTATCATTATTTAAATGTAAGAAAGATATAAAACTTTCAGAAATAATCATCTCTGTGAATATTAATCAACTGCTACCTAGGTTTACACAGTAATACATATTACTTAAAAAATTTTTCTAGGTTTACCAAGTTATCATAATACATTTATTGTTCTTAATTATATCTAGAAAAAAAAAAAGAATTAAAAAAAATCCAAAGTGCCCTTGTCAGCAACAAAATAAAAATCACAGAAGGAAATAAGAAGCTTTTAAGCAAGTCATTAGGAAGGAGACTGAAGCACAGGATGAACTAAATAACTAACATCCTTTCCAGTTTGAGATCCTAAAGAAAAAAGGAGAGGGGAAGGGGTAATAATTGTAAAATTTACCCTTAATAAATAATACCTAATACCAAACAACTTTTATTAGCCAGTAAAGCTGCTAACTGACTTTAGTACTATTGACACCCTCCTTTGACTAAATAAATTCTTAAGAATGATGAACACTGAACATCAGCAATGAGTACATGGTACATGTTAACAATTTACATTTCAGTTAGCAAGAATAATCTCACCATTAATATTACTTCGCTTTTAACAGAAATGTAGACATAACAAATGCCCTGAATTTACCAATCTCCCAGAGCACTGTGCCAGGCATCCAGTAAGCACTCAATAAACACCCCCTGAAATGGCTGTACTGTAACCCATTACAATAAAGGACAGCAGTAGGCCACAAATATTCATTACCTTAAAGATCAACTTATTTCAGAGTAACCATAAGGCTGGAAAAAGAAAAACAGGAATGCCTCCTAGTAAGTGTTACAAATTACATTATGGCTAAATGAAATTAATAGTCAATTTTCTAAAAATCAACTTTTTCAATCATCACATTAATTTTAACTTTTAAAAAGTGTTATTTTAAAACATTTGAGTTTCTGATAATTTAAGGTTCACAGCTATTATAAATAATATGAACAGTTGAGCACTCTTCTCTGCAATGAGATAATTACTGCTAAAGACTACTTTGTTCTCTCCCAAACCATCAGCTTTACTAACATGACAAGAGACATGGAGGAGAATGGCAAACAAAATCAATCTCACAAACTTCTTCCTCTTGTTGAATAAACACACCTGGAGAGTGTGATCAATAGCATGTTACTTGCACTGGGACATTTAAAATTACCTACCACTAAAAAATAAAAAATAAAAAAATAAAATTACCTACTACTGTAGTAGCTTATTTCTAAGTTATTAATATTCCAAATGTTCAAGAGAATTCAGAGATTTGAGACTGCTTAAAGATATTTCTCTAACTATAATTCATAAAACAGAATACAGTAAAAATGTTGACAAAAATATGCAAATCTAAAAATAGCCTAAGGTGAGAATTCTGGTATAAAGTCAAGAATAATTTAGCAAATGGTGAGACTTTAAATGTATTTTTCTTCTATTCCCCAAGAACTTGGATCAGTCTACAATATAATTTGACTTAAGTGAAAAAACTATATTATTCTAGTTCGGATATCTATAGTCACAACTGTAATAACCACTCTTCTATTTTATATTTTCTAGTAAATCCTATTCACTGTTCTCAGAACTTCCTCTAGTCTTTTTCATGTCTAATCTACTATGACACTGAGTATTTTCTCCCCCTCAGTAGCCTGGAATCTATTTTTCCTCACTCTTATGTCTGACATATCTGTGAGTGTGAAGATAAACCAACTCATTCTTCTGTGTATCCAAAATCTAGCATTGTGCCTTTTACAACGCACGTGCCAACAGATCAGAGAACATTTTAATTTTGTATTTTTAATTAGGTTCTCTCATTGTGAGATACAATTAAAGAAGACCTACAGCCATCCCTGATTAACACTTTGGGCAAAAACTAGGGGGAAAAATGGATGGGGACATGGCATGTCAAAAGGACACAGGAGCCAACCTGAAAGTTCTGTCACTGGTCGAGGCAGAGTAACTTGAGCCACAAAATAAACAACCATGTATTGGGTTATAAGCCAAAGAATAAAATAAATATCCATGAGTTCATACTGGTATCAATTATTAAATAAATAAACGGGAGAAGAGACCAATCTTCCTTACAGGAGTCTAAAAATATGTGCAGAAGGAATTAGAGAGGTAGAAATTCATTAATAGATCACCACAGTAAGGAACTGCTGCAGGCAAAATCCACCGGTGAATGCTAAGATTTGTGAATAAACTTTAAGGAAAAACAGGATATTTACATGGCCTCAAAGTATGTCCCCCCCAAATATTTATTACTGTGGTGGCTTTAATATGTGTCCACAAATTCTTTGAATACTCCTCCCTCTAGGAGACGGACTTAATTCCGTTTTGTTGAGTGTGGGCTCTTAATGACTGCTTTCTAAGAGTATGGAAAGGAAATATAGTAACTTTACAAAGGAGAAACCTGACAGACAACACTTTAACTAAGTGATTAAGGTGAATATCACCAGGAATAAGTCATGTTGATATCATGTACCCTCTGATATGATGTGGCGAGTAGAGTGCTTCACCTTTACAGTATCTTCCCCAAAGTCCATAACCCCAGTCCAATTATGAGAAAACATCAGACAAATCCAAATTGAAGGACATTCTACAAAATACCTAATAGTACTCTTCAGAAATGTCAAGATCATAAAAAAGAGGAGACTGAGAAACTCACAGACTGAAGGAGGCTAACACGTAGAACCAACTAAATACAACGTGGTATCCTGGACTACATTCTGCAAAAGCAGACGGACATTAACAGAAAAACTGAAGAAACTGTAATAAAAGTCTATAGTTTAGTTAATAATGTACCAATGTTAATTTCTTAATTTTGATAAATGTACCTTGGTATGAAAGATGTTAATATTAAGAGGAAGCTAGGTGAAGGGTATACAGGAATTCTCGTACTGTTTTTACAACTCTTCTAGAAATCTAAATTTATTTCAAAATAAAAAGGTTTAAAAAAAATAAAGTGTGAGGACATTAGTGAAATGGGTACAAAACAATCTCTGATAAGCTAGCTCCTGATATTTTTTAAACATAAGAGAGACATTTTGTGTTTTCTCAAGTTAAATCAACAAATCATAAATCATGCTGGAATCTATAAAATAAAAACTTAATAGCTGCTTTTGAGGCACAAGTATTTTTATTATCAGGGAAAATTCCTTTGAACTGCTGAACTTATAACAACACAAGCATTTTAATTTAAAGAGGAGATAATTCAGTGAAAAAGCTAAGAAAGTTAAGGTAAAACTGACACAGATTAAAGCTAGACAGAAAGGGGTAGATTTGGGGAAATTAACAGCCTTTAACAACTGGATGGTGGGGCATCAAAGATGACAGCAAGTGAAAAATTTTTTGCTATCAGTTTTCCGGTAAGTCAATTCATGGTCTACTTTAGCAATATTGGAGATTCCTTATTTCCATTATTTAAGATCTGGACGTGATCTTTTTTCTTTTTTTTTCGTGTTTTATTTATTTATTTGACAGAGAGAGACACAGCGAGAGCAGGAACACAGGCAGGGGGAGTGGGAGAGGAAGAAGCAAGCTTCCTGCGGAGCAGGGAGTCCGATGTGGGGCTCGATTCCAGGACCCTGGGATCATGACCTGAGCTGAAGGCAGACGCTTAACAACTAAGCCACCCAGGCGCCCCTGGACATAATCTTGATACCTCTACCATTTTTGCATGCAAGCACTAACAGAAAATTTTCTGTACCTTTAAAAAAGACACTATTGTGAGTATGAAGCATTATACTTTTAAAAAGTTACTAAACTTTGGTTCGAAATTCTACTTAGATAAAATGGTTTCCTTCTCATGAAGTTAACAAACTGCATACAAAGAATATGTAGTAAGAAAAGAATCTGCTTATGTCTAAATCTAAAATGCTACTGGGAATTCTAAAATCTCTAAAAAGACTGTCTATGTGAAACACTCTTATGTGAAAAGATTACATTTTGTTTAGTATAACCCATTTCACATGTTTTTTTTTTATTTTCACATAAAAAATATGGGGGAAAATGGACACTTGTAAATTTTAGGATTGCAATTGATATTTTCTTCTTTATACTTT